AGTGCAAATTGCAAAGAGGAATGCTAGCTGCACTCGCCTTTCTCCAGCACTCTCCAACACTCCTTCATCTAAAATAGCCACGTGAACTTTTTTTTTGTTGAAAATTTTGAATTGCGAGCCAAAGTTTGTTACGTGGACATCTTACATGAGAGAGTGTTGGAGAGTGCTGGAGAAAGGCGAGTGCAGCTAGCATTCCCCAATTGCAAATAGATTTTTTTTTATAATGACAATAATTAGTAAATTAGTATTTTTAAATATTAATAATTGAGAATTCGATTTTCAAATTAGATGAACAGTTCACTGAACTTAATGAGCGGGGTGCCATCGGGCCACTTGGTAAAATTCTAATTGCAAATAAATATATGTATATTATCTTAATTGTATAATAAAAATAATTATTTTTTATTCATTATTTTACTTTATCTGTATATCATATAATTAAAATATAACACTTTTTACTTAAAAAAACTATTAAATTACTTAAATTATTAATACAAATAGATATTTTTGAGTGAGCATTCTCCGCAAGTTCAACTCGACCGTATTTACGGTGTCAATCCAAGGCCACCCCCTGGGGCTTTTGCTACCTTGAAAATCACGCCCACACATTTGAGGGGCTCCACCACAGCATGGCGGATTGGAGGGGAAGAACGTGACGTGTGGGGTTGGTGAAAGATCAAATCTTTGTATCATCAAGGATTGTGCCCATGCCTCCCCTTTGAAGATTTCTTCGTCAGCACTTTTCTGCCGTCTGAGCACCATTTCAGAAACACACATGGTAGGGTCTACTCCCCCCTTATAATGAGACGCATAGAGTTTTTACGTACAGAGATATAATAATAATGATATATATAGGAATAAAATTTTTTTATATAATTTTTATTTATTATTAAATAAATAAATAAATTTAATATTATAAATCTAAATAAATATATATTTAATAAAAAATTAATTATTTAATTAATACATAAAATTATTTTCAAATTATTTCCTTTTCATAGGTAATTTTGAATTGATAATCTAATCACCAGGCAATTATTATTAGATGACACCAAATAAACTGTAATTTAATTAGTAATTTTTTTTGATTTATTAATTTAGATTTATTTTTTTAATTAATAAAAAACTAATTTCTCATGTGTGAGTGTAAATAGCTTATTTTTTTAATTAAATAAGAGAGAAATTAATCTCCATTAATGTATAAATTAATTTAAAAATACCATTACTGATAAATAAAAAAATTACTCTTAGATGACACGTTGTACAATCCATAGTGCCATCGCTGGTTGTACAAGAAAATTTAAACAGGTAACATCCGGTTGATTATAGTAAATTATTCATGTTAAAATTTATATATTTAAATATAAGTTAATAATTTTATTAATTTAATAATAATTTTTAATACAAATAAAATATTTTAAATTTAAATTATACAATATATGAGTGAAATAAATTAAAAAGATAGAGAGGATCATCTCCCATGGTAAACTCAAAATCAACTTGGAAAAATATAAGGCAAAAAGTGATTAAAAATAAGATTATGCTAGGTGATTTTAAAAAAATTGGAGGCTACTTTTTGACCTTAAATAAAAGATTCAAATAATATTTAGTATTTATGATAAATAATAGGATTAAATTCAGTATTTACTTAATCTTTAGTTAGTATAATTAGTCTCATTACTCGCTAGTTGTCAGTATGTATTTTTTTACTTACAATTGAAAAACTTCTAGTCTATGATTTAGATAGTAATAATTGTTACTTTTGTCTTGAAAAAGCTAAAATAATTTTGATTCTTATCATTAGATTGTATTTTATTTTTTTTATTTTAAAATAATTGTTATTTTTTATTTTAAATTTATTTTTAATTAATTATAGTTTTTTTATTTTTTGAAATAAACAAATATTTTTTATTTTATTATTATCAATTTATTTTAATATATTATTTTATCACCAAAAATGTCACCTTATCTTTTTATTTTTTTTATAAATAATATAAATAAACACATAAATTTTTTAATTCTTAATTTAATAAAAAAATATAATAAATGACCATTTAAGTTGTGTTTTAAAA